TTGTTGAATAATTATTGAATAAACAAATGAGAATCATGGAAATTCTCACTTTTATTTCTTATATAAGAAATCAAACTCTTATTATTTGTCTTCTGAATGTACTTCTACAAAGATAAAATATAAATGCTTTAAAAATAACCTATCTCAGCTCTTCTATTCCAGATACTTTGTTCTAACAAGTAGCAAATTAAAATTTCTACACTAAGAGCTTAAATTCTGTATACCTTATCTTAAGGTTCCTTATGTTTACAGTAAGTGCAGGTTTAAAAAAATCCCTTTAAAGTCTTAGGAATTCTTTGTATAATATTTAGCTGGAAAAAAGAGTAGGGGAAAGGGAGTAAAGTATAGGCAGAATCTGGTAACTGGACAGGTGTTCAGTAAGAAGCCAGGTGATACTGAAGATGATACTATCAGTTTGGCTAATGGAACATGTGAGGAACAATCTGATTGTATTCTAGCATCCCCACTGATCAGTAAAGGCTGATCACCAAGCTGACTAGAGAGATACTCCTTTCCATATCTTGTTTACTGAACTACACAAATTAAGATTACCTGCTTACGTTGAATTAGTCAATGAAGATCTACACTTGCTCTACCCAAACAATAGCCACCAGCCACATGTGGCTACTGACACTTGAAATGTGGCTAGACTGACTGAGGAAATGTAAATGTAGGATCTGAAGCAGGACTAAACATAAACTTTATTGCTTTGGTAGAACTAAATTTCACTTTAACCAGTACATTGTATAAATTATTGTATTTAGTAGTGCCATGTGTTCCAGAAAATTTTTAATTATGTATGTGGCTTTCATCATGTTCCCTTTGGACAGCACTGCTCCAGGAAAATGGTCTTCAACTGGGGATAATTTTGTCTCTTGAGAGACATCTGGTGATATCTAGAAACATTTTTAGTTGTCACAACTTGGGAGTGCTACTGCATCTCATGGGCAGAGGCCAGGGATGTTACTGTACACTCTACAATGCACAAGATGACTCTGTTATGGAAATAAATCATACAGAATTACCACCACCTCCATCACCACCACCCATTTCTCTTACCAGAATACAACTGAGAAAAAAATCCATTACCTAAGGAAGTAAATGGCCCTTCATGGATCACAGCCTTGTTGGGGCGAAGGGGCTTGCATAACTCAAGCTATGAGCCATGCCATGCAGAGCCATACAAGAAGGACAGGTCATATTGAAGAGTTCTGATAAAACATGGTCCACTGGAAGAGGGAATAACAAACCACTCCAGTATTTTTGATGCAAGAAGCCCATGAACAGGACGATAAGGAACCCCGTGAACAATATGAAAGGGCACTCTGATATGACACCAGGAGATAAGCCCCTAGGTCAGAAGGTGTCCAGTATGCTACTGGGGAAGAGCAAAGGGCTCCAGAAAGGATGAAGCAGCTGGGCCAAAGTGGGAACGACACTCAGCTGTGGATGTGTCTGGTGGTGAAAGTAAAGTATGATGCTGTAAGGAACAATATTACATAGGAATTTGGAAAGTTAGGTCCATAAATCTAGGTAAACTGGACATGGTCAAGGAGGACATGTTAAGAGTGAACATCAACATCTTAGAAATCAGTGAACTAACATGGACAGGAATGGGTGAACTTAATTCAGAAGACTACTATATCTAGTACTCTGGGCAAGAGTTCCTTAGAAGAAATGGAGTGGCTGTCATAGTCAACAGTCCAAAATGCAGTGCATGCATGGGAATTCACTTCAGTTGTGTCCAACTCTTTGTGACACTATGAACCATAATCCACCAGGCTCCTCTGTCCATGGGATTCTCCAGGCAAGAATACTGGAGTGGGTGGCCATTTCCTTCTCCAGGGGAATCTTCCTGACCCAGGGATAGAACCTGTGTCTCATACGTCTCCTGCATTGGCAGATGGTTTCTTTACCACCAGCACCACCCGGGACTTGCCTGAAATCTCAAAAATGATAGAATGATCTCAGCTCATTTCCAAGGTACATCATTCTACATCACATTAATCAAAGTCTATGCCCCAACCACTAATGCTGAAGAAGTTGAAATGGACCAGTTCTGTGAAGATCTACTAGATCTAAGACCTTCTAGAACTAACACCAAAAAAGATGTCCTTTTCATCACAGGGGATTGTAATGCAGAACTAGGAAGTCAAGAGATACACAGAGTAACAGGCATGTTTGGTCTTGGAGTACAAAATGAAACAGAGCAAAGGCTAACAGAGTTGTGTCAAGAGACTACACTGGTTATGGCAAACACCCTCATACAACAACACAACAGACGACTCTACACATGGACATCACCAGATCGTCAGTACCGAAACTCAGACTGATTATATTCTTTGCAGCTGAAGATGGAGAAACTCTCTACAGTCAGCAAACACAAGACTGGACTGACTGTGGCTCAAATCATGAGCTCCTTATTGCAAAATTCAGACTTAAATTGAAGTAGGTTGGGAAAACCAGTAGGCCGTTCAGATATGACCTAAATCAAATCCCTTATGATTATATAGAAGAGGTGAAGAATAGATTCGAGGGAATAGATCTGGTAGACAGAGTGCCAGAAGAACTATGGATGGAGGTTCATAACACTGTACAGGAGGTGGTGACCAAAACTATCCCAAGGGGAAAAAAATGCAAGAAGGCAAAGTGGCTATCTGAGGAGGCTTTACAAATAGCTGAGAAAGAAAAGAAGTGAAAGGCAAGGAAAAAAGAAAAGATATACCCAACTGAATGCAGAATTCCAGAGAATATTAAGTAGAAATAAAGACTTCTTCAATGAACTATGCACAGAAATAGAAGAAAACAACAGAATGAGAAAGACTAGAGACTCTGCAAGAAAAGTGGAGATATCAGGGGGCTATTTCATGCAACAATGTGCACAATAAAGGGCAGAAATGTTAAGGATCTAAAAAAAGCAGAAGAGATTAAGAAGAAGTGGCAAGAATACACAGAAGAACTATACAAAAAAGATCTTAACAACTTGGATAAATATGATGGTGTGGTCAGCTCACCTGGAGTCAAGACATCCTGGAATGTGAAGTCAAGTGGGCCTTAGGAAGCATTAGTATGGACACAGTTAGTGGAAGTGATGGAATTCCAGGTGAGCATCTAAAATCTAAAGTGCTGCACTCAATATATCAGCAAATTTGGAAAACTGAGCAGTGGCCACAGGACTGGAAAAGGTCAGTTTTCACTTCAACCCCAAAGAAAGGCAATGCCAAAGAATGTTCAAACTACCGTACAATTGTGCTTATTTCACACGCTAGCAAGGTTATGCTCTAAATCCTTCAATCACGCTTCAGCAATTATGAACTGAGAACTTCCAGATGTACAACCTGGATTTAGAAAAGGCAGAGGAACCAGAGATAAAATTGCCAACATTTGTTGGATCATAGAGAAAGCAAGGAAATTCCAGAAAAACATCTACTTCTGCTTCACTGACTGTGCTAAAGCCTTTGACTGTGTAGACCACAAGAAACTGTGGAAAATTCTTAAAGAGATGGGAATTGTCTTCAGAGAAACCTGTATGCGGGTCAAGAAGCAATAGTTAGCACTGGACATGGAACAATGAACTGGTTCAAAATTGGGAAAAGAGTATGTTAAGGTTGCATATTATCATCCTCCTTATGCAACTTCTATGCTGAGTACATCATGCAAAATAGCAGTCTAGATGAATCACAAGCTGGCATCAAGACTGCCAGGAGAAATATCAACAAGCTCAGATATGCAGATGATACCACCTAATGGGAGAAAGTGAAGAGGAACTAAAGAACATCTTGAAGGTGAAAGAGAAGAGTGAAAAAGCTGGCCTGAAACTCAACATTCAGAAAACTAAGATAATGGCATCAGGTCTCATTACTTCATGGCAAATAGAAGGGGGAAAAGTAGAAGCAGTGACAGATCTTATTTCCTTGGGCTCCAAAATCACCGCTGATGGTGACTGTAGCCATGAAATCAGAAGACACTTGCCTCCTGGAAGACACTTATATATGACAAACCTAGATAGCATATTAAAAAGCAGAGACATCACTTTGCTGATGAAGGTTCGTACAGTCAAAAGTTATGGTTTTTCTAGTAGTCATGTACAAATATGAGAGCTGGACCATAAAGGCGGCAGAGAGTCGAAGAATTGATACTTTTGAATTGTGGTACTGGAGAAGCTTCTTGAGAGTTCCTTGGACAGCAAGGAGATCAAAACACTCATGCTAAAGGAAATCAACCCTGAATGATCGCTGGAAGGCCTGATGCTGAAGCTCTACAACTCTGGACACATGATGTGAAGAGCCGACTTACTGGAAAAGACCCTGATGCTGGGAAAGATTGAAGAAAAAAGGAGACGAGGGTAGGGGAGGATGAGAGGGTAAGATAGCATCACGAACTCAATGGACAACAATCTAAGCAAACTCGCAGAAACAGTGAAGGACAGGGGAGCCTGGCACGCTGCAGTTCATGGGGTTGCAGAGTCGGACGTGACTTAGCAACTGAACAACAAAAGGAATTAATGACAGTGTTTGGGAGGGAAAATAGAGCGGTCAATGTCAACAGAAAAGGCTCATGTGTAAGATGAAAAATCTGCAGTCACAGAAGGAAGCTGGTGTGATTCTAAAAGTCAAAAACAAAAAAATGAGGAATACATTTTCTTTTACTGTCTAAGTAAAGGAAAAAACTATCATTGACAAAATGCATATGACAGTAAGTTAGACATCTCAGGTAGTCAGCATTAGAAACTCTTGCAACAACTTAAGGAAGGAAGTCCTAGGGCCTTAAGCTAAGAAGAACCAATGGAATAATTATCTGTTAATATCTTAAAAGCATTCTTTAAACATCCTAATCATATATAGTGTATAAACATATTTCAAGAATGATAAATAAGCATCATGATGTGTTTAAATAAAAATAAAAGAGATAATCTTTTTAAAATTAATCAATAGTCTCAAATAAGATTAGACCAAGTCATAAGCCAAGGCTGAAAAAGGCTTTTAAGCAGACAATGGTACCTTTCTGTGTCAACTGTCTCCTCATTTTTCATCCATCTAATGGTTGGAGTAGGAAGTCCTGAAGCAACACATGGCAACACTGCACTCTGACCAATGACTCTGATTAAGGAAGAAGGTTGTTTCAAAAATACCAAGTTTGATGTGGCACCAGGATCTGAAAAAAAATTTTAAACAAAAGAAAATGGTTAAGAAAACACTATAGCAAATTCCGATTCAGTCTGTGTGGCTTTATACAACAAAACAGTTAAAGCAAAAATGACAGGAAAATTCCATTTAAATTAGCAAGCATTTCTTAATAATTCCCATGTACAAAACTTTGTCTGAGGCTCTCTGGGAGGCTTAAACATGTTTAAGTTACAGCTCCTGCTTTCAGTGTCCTTACTGGTCACCAAACTGAGATCTGACTTGAACCCCCTTCATTTTAAAAGATAATATAAGGAAAATACTTCATAAGTGGTACAAATAGGAAAAAGACTGAGCAAGCGCAGGACCTTAGCATCCTCACCACTCACAGAGATATCATAAGAGGCTTCCTTTCTTTTCCTTCCCTATACCTATGTGCTACTTCTAAAAATCTTTGACCTTCATCTGTTTAACTTGCTCACTGAGACAGTCACTCCTTTAATTTTTACAATGGTGCAACTATCAGGTTACCACTATATGTGTGTTCACACTTTATAGAGTCACCCTCTTACAGGCATATAAAAGATCATACTCCTGGGGTAGAAGATAGGGTTATCTATTAGATGGGGTGATATTTCTAGTTTTTTTTTTTTAATTGGGAGATAATGGTTTCACAATATTGTATTGGTTTCTGCCACACATTAACACGAATAAGCTGTAGATATACACATGTCCTCAGGCTCTTGAATCTTCCTCTCAACTCCCACCCTTCTAAGCTATCACAGAGCACCAGCCTAAGCTCCCAGCATCATAAAGCAATTTCCCATTTGCTATCTGTTTTACACATGGTAATGTATATATTTCCATGCTACTGTCTGAATCCATCCCACCCTCTCCTTCCCCCACTGTGTTTGAAAGTCTGTTCTCTATGTCTGCATCTCCACTGACGCCCTGAAAACAGGTTCATCAGTACCATCTTTCTACTGTTAAGTTTGGAGAAGAAAGACTGTTCTCAGGCAGAGATGAGACTCTTTGTTCCAAACTCTTAGGAAAACATGTTCTATAACCACTGTGACAACCACCAGAGCTGGCTTTAAACTTGTGTAACTAACCAATGACAGTTCTGTAGTCATGGTAACACACACTGTCTAACACTTCAGCACAACTGTCTTCAGTTTGAAACCCAACCAATGAGTTTATCCAATGCCTCTAAAAGTTATTAGCCATTCGGTGGTGGAACCCCTTGCTTCTAAGGCTGACATTGTTCTCACCTCTGTAACCAATGATAAAACATGCTTCTATTACTGACATCAACCCATCCCAGTCTCCTAACCAACACAGTAAGAACAGTGTCTTTCAAAAAATTTTATAGGAGACTTGGTTTAGCCACTAAGGCCCCATGGACTGTAGCCTGCCAGGCTCCTCTGCCCATGGGATCCTCCAGGCAAGAATATTGGAGTTGGTTGCCATTTCCTTCTCCACAGGATCTTCCCAACCCAGTCTCCTAACCAAGAACAATGTCTTGCAAAAAATTTCATTAGTCTGCATTATTCAAGATGACTATGCTTTACAAACATAGCTCTCCCTTAGGTACACAAAACAATCTGTATTTTTTGTTTCAGATATTTCATGGTGGTTCATCTTTTGACACCAAGAATCTTGTTTACCTCAAGCTGGTTTGGAGGATTTGTGACTGATAACACAGATTCAGAGAAAAAATATCACCTCTGTCTGCCATGAAATAAGACATGGCAGAAATAAGACATCTTCTATATAAAAGCAAGTCAGAAAGTAGGTTGGAAGACACTGCTATAGAGCAATGGTTCTTTGTTTTTCTACCTTGAACTAGGACTTTGCTGGTGGCTCAGATGGTGAAGCATCTGCTTACAATGCAGGGGACCCGAGTTCGATCTCTGGGTAGGGAAGATCCTCTGGAGAAGGAAATGGCAACCCACTCCAGTACTCTTGCATGGAAAATCCCATGGACGGAGGAGTCTGGCAGGCTACAGTCCATGGGGTCGCAGAGACTTGGACGTGACTGAGTGACTGCACTTTCACTTTAGTTAAACCACATGAGATAATGAATTAATACCTGGAAGAACTTTTAATTCAGCTTCCTCACTATACTTTGGTGGCCCACCACTTTCAACCATGCAGCGATAGAGTCCCCCATCTCCTTCAGTTGCGTTGCTGATAACTAGCATTCCACTTGGAAGTTTGATAACTCTATCATCCAGAAGAAGAGGCTGTTTGTTCTGTTCCCACCTCATAAACGGGACCAAATCTGCATTAACTTCACAATTCAGAACTGCACTGTTCCCAACATAAACTGAAGAAGGCTCTGGTTGGCTGGCAAATCTTGGAAGACCTAGACAATAAATAAAAAGAAAAAAAGTATAAAATGTAGTTAAATATTACTTTAAAATAGTCATGGAACCAGGAGCAAGTCAGCTTGTTTGGCCACAAGTATAGTGGAACGAGGTTTAAAAAGAAGGTCCATGGGTCAGGAAATTGGCTACATACTGGAATACAGATCAAGTAAATAATGTACTAGGAGTAACTGGAGTCAGATTCCTCATAGTGGAAGAAGCGAGGTAAAAATATATATACATTTCACAGTTATTACAGTTATTACAATACAGTTACTGTACTGTATACAATACAATAATATAGTTATTACAAATATGTACACACACACACACACACACAAATATCCTAGCTCTGTCCAGAAAGAGCCCAGAATCAATCTTACTTCAGTAACAATGAATATATATGGTGACCTGATCATGATTTCTAAAATACTATTCTCCACCTCAAGGAACTAAGGCTACTTGGATAAATGGTTGATTCTAGGACTAGAGTAGGGAAATAACAGTCTGGAACATCTTGTGACAGAAAGCAAAGAAGTACCCAAAGACTAAAATGGACATAGCCAAAGAACACAGAAGTCAGATCAAAAGGAGTTCCCTCTGGCTAACTCTGGGATAATGATAATTAATGCTGCAAAGAATGAAGAATGAATGCTAAAACTAGTAAGTGAAAGTTGGATGAGGAATAGGGATGTTTATAGAGTATCAAATTATATCTTCTCCAAATACTTATTACTAATTAAAGTACAAAATATTTATTAACTTTAGAGTAGAGAGGCATAGTACAGACAATCTTAACCAAGTAATAAAAGTTAACACTACCAGTAATGGAACAAAACACCACATGCTTTCTGATATGATGCACTAAGAATACAGCATCTCTTCTGTGACATTCCTCCCCAAAATGCAAAAGCTGAATCCCTTCATGGAGGAAAACTAGAAAATCCAAAATGAGACAAGGATGAATTGAATAATGGTTTGAGATTGTAAAACTCTAAAGAGAGAATGACTAAGTACTAAACTTGTAATCCAGGACTGGAAAGGAAGAGGGATGATGGGGCAAAGTTTTCACTTTTATTTTTCCTGCTATTAAGAACATTATTGAGATAACTAGTGACATTTGAATTGTACCTATCAATTAAATGATAGCATTTTTTATTAAGGTTAATTTCCTGATCTTGATGGATGTTTACTGAGGAAAAAGTTCTTTTTTTTAGGAAATATAAACAGAAGTATTCGGGTTGGGGTAACATTTGCAAATCACCCTGAAAGAGTCAAAAAAAATTTTTATTTGGGTATGTGCATATTAGATGATAAGGCAAATGTGGTAAAATGTTATCAGATAATAAGAGTGACTATATGAGATTTCTTGGTTTCATTCTTGCAACAAGTCCACAAATTAGTAATCATTTCAAAATAAAATATTAACCAAAAAAATAGTCATAAATACTCTGTAGATGCCACAGAATGTAATGGTTAGGAGGAGATATAGAGAACAAATTAGTGGTTACGGGAGGCAAGTATGGGGTGTGATACAAGGGAGGGGGAGGTACAAACTACTGAGTGTAAGACAGGCTCAAGGATGTACTGCACAACACAGGGAATATAGACAATAATTTTTATAATAACTGTAAATGGAAGTGAAAGTGCAAGTCACTCAGTTGTGTCTGACTCTTTGCAACTCCATGGACTATATAGTCCATAGAATTCTCCAGGCCAGAGTACTGGAGTGGGTAGCCTTTCCGTTCACCAGGGGATCTTCCCAACTCGGGGATCGAACCCAGGTCTCCAGCATTGCAGGCAGATTCTTTAACAGCTGAGCCACAAGGGGAGCCCAAGAATACTGGAGTGGTTAGCCTATCCCTTCTCCAGCAGATCTTCCCAATGCAGGAATTGAAGTGGGATCTCCTGCATTGCAGATGGGTTCTTTACCAACTGAGCTATCAGGGAAAGTAACCTTTAAAAATTATATAAAAATGAGGCCAGAGCCTCTCTTGGCTTGGTCCACCTCTTCCTTAGGTGTTCTTTCCATTCTTTCTTCAATAAACTTGTTTTTGCCAAGGGGGAAAAAAATTGTATTTAAAAAAAAAAGTGACTTTAACATGCTCAGACTGCAACAAAATGTTTCTTTAAAGGCTAACAAATTAATTATGAGAAACATAATTCCAGGTGTTCTAGTTCTATGATGGTCAATTACTCCATATGGATATAATACTCTTCAGTTCAGTTCAGTTGCTAAGTCATGTCCAAGTCTTTGCAACCCCATGGACCGTAGCACATCACCAACTCCTGGAGTTCACACAAACCCATGTCCATTGAGTCAGTGATGCCATCCAACCATCTCATCCTCTGTCGTCCCCTTCTCCTCCCGCCCTCAATCTTTCCCAGCATCAGGGTCTTTTCCAATGAGTCAGCTCTTCGCATCAGGTGGCCTAAGTATTGGAGTTTCAGCTCCAACATCAGTCTTTCCAATGAACACCCAGGATTGATCTCCTTTAGGATGGACTGGTTGGACCTCGTTGTAGTTCAAGGGACTCTCAAGAGTCTTCTCCAACACCTCAGTTCAAAAGCATCAATTCTTTGGCGCTCAGCTTTCTTTATAGTCCAACTCTCACATCCATACATGACTACTGGGAAAACCATAGCCTTGACTAGATGGACCTTTGTTGACAAAGTAATGTCTCTGCTTTTTATTTTTTTTTTTAATTTTTTTTATTTTTTTATTAATTAATTAATTTATTTTTTTTCACAACCATAGTGTATCTTTTTTTTTTTTTTTTACATGTATTCCCCATCCCGGTCCCCCCTCCCACCTCCCTCTCCACCCAATCCCTCTGGGTCTTCCCAGTGCACCAGGCCCGAGCACTTGTCTCATGCACCCAACCTGGGCTGGTGAACTGTTTCACCCTAGATAATATACATGTTTCAATGCTGTTCTCTTGAAACATCCCACCCTCGCCTTCTCCCAGAGTTCACAAGTCTGTTCTATACATTATCAGAGAAATGCAAATCAAAACCACAATGAGGTACCATTACACGCCAGTCAGGATGGCTGCTATCCAAAAGTCTACAAGCAATAAATGCTGGAGAGGGTGTGGAGAAAAGGGAACCCTCTTACGCTGTTGGTGGGAATGCAAATTAGTACAGCCACTATGGAAAACAGTGTGGAGATTTCTTAAAAAGCTGGAAATAGAACTGCCATATGACCCAGCAATCCCACTTCTGGGCATACACACCGAGGAAACCAGATCTGAAAGAGACACGTGCACCCCAATGTTCATCGCAGCACTGTTTATAATAGCCAGGACATGGAAGCAACCTAGATGCCCATCAGCAGATGAATGGATGAGGAAGCTGTGGGACATATACACCATGGAATATTACTCAGCCATTAAAAAGAATTCATTTGAATCAGTTCTAATGAGATGGATGAAACTGGAGCCCATTATACAGAGCGAAGTAAGCCAGAAAGATAAAGACCATTACAGTATACTAACACATATATATGGAATTTAGAAAGATGGTAACGATAACTCTAAGTGCAAAACAGAAAAATGTCTCTGCTTTTTAGTATGCTGTCTAGGTTGGTCATAACTTTCCTTCCAAGGAGTAAACGTCTTTTAATTTCATGGCTGCAGTCATCATCTGCAGTGATTTTGGAGCCCAGAAAAATAAAGTCAGCCACTGTTTCCCCATCTATTTGCCATGAAGTGATGGGACCGGATGCCATGATCTTAGTTTTCTGAATGTTGAGCTTTAAGCCAACTTTTTCACTCGCCTCTTTCACTTCCATCAAGAAGCTCTTTAGTTCTGCTTCACTTTCTTCCATAAGGGTGGTGTCATCTGCATATCTGAAGTTATTGATATTTCTCCTAGCAAACCTGATTCCAGCTTGTGCTTCCTCCAGCCCAGCATTTCTCATGATGTACTCTGCATGTAAGTTAAATAAGCAGGGTGACAATATACAGCCTTGACGTACTCCTTTTCCTATCTGGAACCAGTCTGTTGTTCCATGTCCAGTTCTAACTGTTGCTTCCTGACCTGCATACAGGTTTCTCAAGAGGCAGGTCAGGTGGTCTGGTATTCCCATCTCTTTCAGAATTTTCCAGTTTATTGTGATCCACACAGTCAAAGGCTTTGGCATAGTCAATAAAGCAGAAATAGATGTTTTTCTGGAACTCTCTTGCTTTTTCGATGATCCAGCAGATGTTGGCAATTTGATCTCTGGTTCCTCTGCCTTTTCTAAAATCAGCTTGAACATCTGGAAGTTCACAGTTCACGTATTGCTGAAGCCTGGCTTGGAGAATTTTAAGCATTACTTTACTCTTAAAAGTTGTCTAACCCTGTTACAATTTTTTATATTCTTATTTCAAGAGGGCTTTTGAAGGAAAAAATAAACATATAATTAACCAAATATCTACTTTTCAGAAATTAGAAAATTTGAACAATTAACAAAGATAAACACAGAAACTAATAAAACCAGAAAAAAGGAATCAAATAAAACCAAGAACCAGTTCTATTTTTAAAAAGTCAAAATAGTCTCCCTCCTGTGCTCTCATGAAAATGAGTAATTTTTAAAAATATAAACCCACAACAACATATGTGGAGTTGGCAGACAAGAGATTTCAAAAAGTTTCTGGATAGGGAAAGCAGATGGAGAAACTCGTAACCGACACATCGAGGCAGAAAATGCTGCAGCTTCCTGTGCTCACACGTGGGAGACCAGTTTGTCCTACTGCCTCTGGAGAACTGCAGAAGGAGAGTGGGAGTGAGACATGAGGCTGACACGATGGGATTAACAGTGTCTGTATTTAGACTACCCAGTCATCCCACCTTCAGGCACAAAATACCCACAGCCAGGGTACTGCCCAGACTGTTAAAGAGAAACTTCTGGTGTGGAGACACGAGACAGCCCAGAGAAAATGACCTCTCACATTTAATTCTATGAGCTATCAACTTAGTAGGTTTTAAAAAATTCCTCGTCTGTATTTGACTTGGCCAGAGTCAGTTTCTATTGCTTGCAAACAAAGAACTCTAATCAATAATCTTTCGAAATGGCAATGCAGCAGCATCTATTTTTTTGGCAGCATTTTAAAAAAGTTTAATTGAGCTACAATTTATATACCTTAAAGGGTACCATTTAAAGTACACAATTCAAATTGTTTTTAGTATATGCCCAGTTTTGCAGCTATCACTATAATCTAATTTTAAAACACTTTCATCATCCCCAAAGAAACTGTGTATTCACTTGCAGTCATTCCCATTTCTTACATTCACCCCTTTCCCAGCCACTCCATGCCCTTATTCCTCCCATCTCCAGTCCTAGAAAACCACCAATCTACCTTTTGTTTGGCTCTATATATTTGCCTACTCTGGACATTTCATATATATGAAGTCATATGATATGTGGTCTTCTGTGAGTGACTTATTTCACTTATCACACTGCTTTTAAGGCTTATTCATGTTACTATATACAGTGGCTGACTTTATTTTGGGGCTCCAAAATCACTGCAGATGATACTGCAGCCATGAAATTAAAAGACGATTGCTCCTTGGAAGGAAAGTTAGGACCAATCTGGACAGCATATTAAAAAGCAGAGACATTACTTTGTCAACAAAGGTCCATCTAGTCAAGGCTATGGTTTTTCCAGTAGTCATGTATGGATGTGAGAGTTGGACTATAAAGAAAGCTGAGCGCCGAAGAATTGATGCTTTTGAACTGTGGTGTTGGAGAAGACTCTTGAAAGTCTCTTGGACTGCAAGAAGATCCAACCAGTCCATCCTAAAGGAGCAGTCCTGGGTGTTCATTGGAAGGACTGATGTTGAAGCTGAAACTCCAATATTTTGGCCACCTGATGTGAAGAGCTGATGACTCATTTGAAAAGACCCTGATGCTGGGAAAGATTGAGGGCGGGAGGAGAAGGGGACGACAGAGGATGAGATGGTTGGATGGCATCACTGACTCAATGGACATGGGTTTGTGTGAACTCCGGGAGCTGGTGATGGACAGGGAGGCCTGGTGTGCTGTGGTTCATGGGGTCACAAAAAGTCGGACACGACTGAGTGACTGAACTGAACTGAATATATATATATATATGTGTGTGTGTGTGTGTATAATATATATATATATCTCAGCACTTCATTCTTCATTATTGCTGAATAATATTCCATGTATGAATATACTACATTGTAGTTATCCATCCATCACTTGATAGACATGTAAGCTGTTTCCACTTTCTGGGTGGAGTGCTAAGAAACGAAGTTGGAGAACTGGAGGCCAGCTCATGAAAGGACTCAAGAAGCCTGTTAAAGAGTTCAGCCATTAACTTGATGCAGTTTACATTAGATCACTGAAGGGTGAGAAAGAGTCCTCTGACCACAGAGTGGAGATGGGGTAAGAGAAGGGAAAAAACGAGATGCCGGACAGTTACTCGGCTGTGCTGAGGGATGACCAGGAGTGGCCTCAGGAGGGGGCATGTGAATCAAGTACAGAGAAATTAGGAAGCAGAATTCAGTGGATTTGGTGACTGGATGTGGGGGACAGTTGAGAGGAATGAGTCAAGATTAAAAGCCCAGTTCAAGAACCCGAGTTATACAGGCAGTCAGTCATAATGCTAACTTATTTATCAACAGTTGGAGACAGCCTGGCAAAAAAGGAATTTTAAAAGAAAGAAGAAAAAAAGGAAAAGGTAAATTGTCAAGAGGCCTGATTCTTTCCCCCACCCCAATCCTCAATCTGTGATTATGAAATAATTACAGTGACTACACATCACACTCAAATTCAACTTTGAGTATTTGGCTCTAAAGAAGAAAAGAGCCATCATACACTGAGTGAATGAGCAAATATTAATACAACCTGGAGTGAGCAGGGGATGGGGGACCATGACTCTGGAATGGGAATAAGATAGGAAACTACTGTCTCAGACATACTCTTTTTTCACATGTTCACATTTCACCAAGGTGAGAATATAAACCAAAGATAAAACAATTTTTGTGAATTGTGACCCTTTACAAGAACTTACTTCATCTGATTTCAAGTGTAGAAACACTGATCTGAATGTCTGTCCACTACACCTCTTTAAGAAACATAGCTTACTCTTCTAGATCTTTAATTGCTATTACACTTTCCAACAGTCTTCAAATAGGAATGCTCTAAAAGGGAGTGACTTTTTTCTCTTTACAACTTTTCTACTCATACTCATTTCTACTCTACTCATTCATACACACACACACACACACACACACACAGGCATACATGCATGCATGTGTGCATGCTTAGTCGTGTCTAATTCTCTGTGACCCCATGGACTATAGGACTGTAGACTGCCAGGTTCTGCCCATGGAACTTTACAGGCAAGAATACTGGAGTAGGTTGCCATTTCCTACTGCAGGTGATCTTCCTGACCGAGGGATCTAACCTACATCTCCTGCATTAGCAGAAGGACGCTTTACCACTGACCCACCTGGGAATCCTACATACACACACACACACACGTGTTTATATATATATGTGTTTATATATGTGTGTGTATATACACACACACACACGTGTATACACACATACATACATCCTACAGATTTTTAAAAATCCAATTAAATGTCATTTCCCCGGTTAAGGCATAAAGAACCAAGTCTCTGGCTATACTACAAGCTTTACAGAATCACACTAAATGGTTATGCTGGGTAGGATAAAAGTTCATAATCAAAGTAACTCAACTTTCCTACACAACTTTTGTCATTTCCAGGTTAAAAAGATTAGAAGACCTGGTTCAGTACTTCTGATAACACCCTGAAGCCATCAGAAAGGGAAAAGTGTTCCAGCTTTCTCCCTATAGAACGAGCAAATCCAAGCATAATCCTACACACAGTATATGCTCAACTGATACTTGTTAAATAAGTGTACTTGCTGTAACCAATTTAATGAAAACTCTAGGATAACACCACTTTTATCAAGATTTACTCTTTATGAAAACTTCAAAATACAAATAAATTATTCAGTGAAACGTACCTGCTACCGTGAGCTTGGCTGTTCTGCTGACAATAGTTCCAAGACTCTCAACAGTGGCTACACACTGGTAATAACCTTCATCAGGTTTGTTGTGTTTGGAATGCACCACACTGCTGATAAACAAAGACCCATCTGCGAGAAGCTGGCGTCGATCATCTGACACTAAGTTTAAAAGAGTTCCATCTTTTTTCCATTCAATTTTTGGAGAAGGCTCAGAATATGCTGAACAGTTTAATATAACAGAAGAGCCTCTAACAGAGAGTGTATCCACTGGTTCCACCAAAAAATAAAATGGAGTGAATGTCCGAATGCTGGATCCTATAAAAATAATAAAGAGAAAGAACAAAGTTAAACAAAACTTTTCTCTATTATTTTTGTAAGAAAATATAATATGTCCAAAAATTATTTTGGACTTCTCCTTTAGGTATGATACAAAAATATAGTCATTTTACTATGAATATCCAATAAATTCATATTCACATATAATAAATAAAACCTACTTTTCATTAGGAAATCAAAACTTGACCCATTTAGGAAAAAAGACCCTGCTACTGGAAATAATCCAGCCTTGCTAGATGATATGAATATCTAGTAGAAGTTTTATTGTAACCCTATAATAAGATTTAGAAATATTTAAAATTCTAGTATTCAAAAAGTGAAATTTTCTACAGAATGTAAAAGAGGCAGAAAATGGAAATGATTCTTTGGTAACGAGGTATCTCTTCTATGTTTACTGGCTGTATTTCTTTCATAAATTCACTACACAGACACTCTGTCCATTTTTCTAATGGATTATTCATCCTATTGACTAAAAGTAATCTTTGGGCATAGATAACGATGTTTTGTAAATGTTCTTTTTTCTACTCTGATTTTTAGCTCATACATTTTAACTTCCTAAAAGTAAACCTGTTATATTTTAAAAGGTTTTCTTTGTCCTAAGATTATTTTTAAAAATTTAGCTCTGTTTTGTGCTACTACTTTTGTGGTTTCATTGTTTCTTTAAGCAGAAATAAAGCTATTTTCATCTTTATATATATAGTGTGCCTAGACGGGGACAATATGAAAAGTCTAGGGTATATTCATATACTGAGATTTAATGATTGTCAAAATGCATGTATTTGCTAAATAAAAAAACATTCAAGATGATCCCACTTACATTAAAATATATGTACACATGAGTATATATGTGCATGTGCATATATTTAAATGTAAATATAGAGGGAGAAGTCTGGAAGAATAAACACTAAACAGTCAATAGAGTTTTCTCCCAGGTAGAGAAGCGGGATTGAGCTGCTGCTGATGGAGAGGATATAGAGAGAAGGGTTTTCACTTCATTGATTTCTGTATTGTTTACTTTAAAAACTATGAACAATTGCTTAACACATCCTTGTCATCTTTTTAACAACAAATTTTCTGTTGGTGGTGGTGATTAATCCTTTGTTGAGGACAGAGGATTATTTTTCAAAAGATCCATCACCACTGTCTTTAACCACTTTTCCTTTGTCACAGTAGAAGTGTTATCAGACACTCACTTCTCAGCTGACTTTGTATAAAAACCGTCCTATACTTCTCACCAGGGTTCTGATTCCCTATCCACTCAAGTTTGTTTAATTTTAGTTTACTACAACCAGAGTCACCATACAAATTATTCTGAAATAGGTTTAATGATCCTATCTGATCTCTTCTATGTTCCCAAGTCTCTGCAAATTTCTCACTTCTTAATGGAATAGCTCTCACTTCTTAATAGGCTATTCCTCACTTTTTGATAGAATATTTCACACTTCTTGATGGAATTCCATCTTATGAAAGGAAAATATCCACAAGAAACTCATTTCAGCTGAAATGCCCCCACTCCCAAATATCAACAAATCATAACACTCACTGCACACTTTAATTATGTGGCCAATAATTATTTTAAATTGTATTGTACCCAGAGTTAAAAAAAAAAAACACATAGGATATGAATACTGGCAGAAATAAAAAGATATCTAGCTGTCTTACTGTCTAAAGAGGTTCAAAGTTATTGACAGTAGCAGGAATATGGAATAGAAGGATAAGCAAACATTTTTATACACCTACAAACATAAGTGCTCTGTACAGTGTTATTCATCCTAGGAAAATTATCTCTTCACTCTAAGCCAAGAGACTAATGTCGATGGACTTCATATTTCTTTTACTCTTTGACATTACTTTTGATCATCCTATTCCATCCAGTCAATCCTTAATCCCATATTTCATCCTTCCTGAGCTCTCAGAGTTCACTATCACCATAGAGTTCAGGCTCTCTTGCTTCTGGTTCTCAATTTATAGTTAAAACATTTAAAAGTCAGTTCAAGTAATTCAACATCCTAAGGGCTCAACCAAATACACTAATGTTATCTATTAAGAACAGGGAACACTTATGCATTAACAAATGTTTTCTATCCCGTTTTGCTATACAACAATCAATGTCCTCTCTCTGCCCCGTACAGCTAACTCCTCCAAAAACTCAATCTATGAAGCATGCAGAACTCCTTTCCTGGGAATTTCAAGTTAGATAAGTGGCTAGTTGTTAATATTACATGGATGATTTTAACTGATAAACACGTTTTGAAAAACTTTTACGGTACAGATATATCATTAAAAAAAATGAATGTCCAGTTATAATCAAAGCTGGATCAGAAATTCTTTTTCAAGATCATAATGTCCTAATACAGAAATTCAACTTGATTGTTCTAATTTATAGCATCTACCTTTCCAATCACGCTTCAAAGTGAAAAATCTGTGAATTTATTCAATAAAAATTTATTATAGTAAGAGCACTTTCCTTTTCTTTAGTCTTCAACCTTCTTCCTTTTCCCCTCCCCCAGAAAAAACAGCCAAGTGGGAAAAAACTTTGGTAAAACGCAGCCAGGCAGACATGGTTGCAAATCCTAGCTCTGACGGGCTAGTTAATTTCTTTCTGTATTCAAAACTTCCTCCCTTATAAAATAATTGCTTCTCCCCTCAGTTCAGTTCAGTTACTCAGTTGTGTCCGACTCTTTGCAACCCCATGGACTGCAGAAACCAGGCTTCCCTGTCCATCACCAACTCCTGGAGCCTGCTCAAACTCATGTCCATCGAGTTGGTGATACCATCCAACCATCTCATCCTCTGTCGTCCCCTTTTCCTCCTGCCTTCAGTCTTTCCCAGCGTCAGGGTCTTTTCCAATGAGTCAGTTCTTCGCACCAAGTAGCCAAAGTATTGGAGCTTCATCATCAGTCCTTCCAATGATTATTCAGGACTGAATTCCCTATAAAACAATTTTCTCCCCTATAAAATAATGGCTTCCTTTTAAGGAGATTTCTGTGAAGATGTGTAAAAGCACCCACCTCACCACTTGGCAGGTAAGTGAAGTGAAGTGAAAATCACTCAGTCATGTCCAACTCTTTGCGGCCCCATGGACTATACAGCCTATGGAATTCACCAGACCACTATACTGGAGTGGGTAGTCTTTCCCTTCTCCAGGACTCTTCCCAACTCAGGGATTGAACCCAGGTCTCCCACATTGCCGGCAGATTCTTTACTGGATTCTTTACCAGCTGAGCCACAAGGGAAGCCCAAAAATACTGGAGTGGGTAGCCTATCCCTTTCTCCAGCAGATCTTCCTGACTCAGGAATCGAACCGGGGTCTCCTGCATTGTAGGCAGATTCTTTACCAACTGAGCTATGAGGGACGCTCTGCTTGGCAGTGACTTCCCTGGTGGCTCAGATGGTAAAGCGTCTGCCTACAATGCAGGAGACCCCGGTTCGATCCCAGGGTCGGGAAGATCTCCTGGAGAAGGAAATGGCAACCCACTCCAGTACTCTTGCTTGGAAAATCCCATGGACAGAGGAGCCCAGTAGGCTGCAGTCCATGGGCTCACAAAGAGTCAGACACAACTGAGTGACTTCACTTTCTACTTGGCAGGTAACAGGTCCTCAATTAATAGTAACTATTCACAGTCCAAAAGCCTACACTATTTTCCCCCAAACTGCTAACATCTAGCAACTCTGTGTTTACCAGTCACATTTTAGAAATTGCTATGCATAAAATATGGACTTTCTTTTTATTTTTAATCACATTTTGACAATTACGTATAAAATAACATGAAGAGACCTTAAAACTCAAGTTTGGTCATCTTTCTTCTCTGCCTTATCTTTCAACAGCACCCTATTACAGCTAATATAAAATCCAAATTCATTATTGCCAAGGCATTCAAAAAGTCTACAGGATCTGCTTCCTGCCTTTCTGCAACCTAATCTGATATCACACTCTAACTCAGTACACTCTGGCCACATACTTCAGTTTCCTGGACAAGCCATCGTCTTTCCCAGACTAAAGTCTCTGCACTTGCTCTCCCCTCTGCTTAACACTTGCTCTACAACCACTCACATCACAGGTCTAGCTCCTCCTCATTCTTCATGTTTCCACCCAGCTGTCACTTCTACAGAGGCCTTCCCTGACAACTCTCTCTGAAAAAGTCTCTTATCCTGCCCAATTAACTTTGTATTTAAGGCCTACCTCCCCAACGAGGAGGCTAGACTAGGAGAGTAGTAAAATGACCTCTGGTCTGTCAGTGCTCCTCGCCCTTTGCACCTTGGCTTGTTCTGTGTTTTGTCTGTGTCCCTTTCGGAGCTCTGCAGATTTGGTGGGTGGGTGGGCCAAGGTGAAATTAAGTATTAGTGATCCTTAGTGACTCTGCATAACATCGGATTTCCACTGTTTAAGATCGGCCTCATTCTTGAAAATTTTACATTCAGATGATTTCAAATCTGTCCTGTGTAAAATGTTTTATTATCACTTTTCAAAGTGTCATAAATAAAGAACATTAATATTTCATACCTTTCTATGCGATCAGCAAGAAGACTAGATACAATCTGATAACCTGCAAACAATATCACCAATGCTTTGAACAATTACCTGGAAATCCTCTAATTCTTAGGAAAGGTACGTTAATAACAGTTAACATGCCAACAATATTATGTATTTCCGCTCAAAATTAAGGGAAAATCTGAATTTTTCATTCTGCTATTTGAGAAAGATATAAAAATTTTTACACTAAATAGAACTTCTATTAACTATATAAATCTTCATGTTTATATAGTTATCTAAACATCTTTTAAGCAACTTTTTGTTATTTGTGGCCAGAAGACTGTCCTAAGAGTAATACATCTCACCCAAAACCTGATGCAAGGTCTTCTGAATTTCTGAAACAAGAATTTTTAGTTCCATTTTTGTATATTACACAAGAAAATATAAGCTCAATGCTATATAATATAATGCAAATATTAACACTGAGGTGTAACCCAAAGATCCA